AAAAGGGGACAGATGGAGACTATACAAACGTATGTATATTCATAAAGTGTTGCTAATAGATTATACAACAAATTGATGGCATTGGTTGCCTCCAGGAAGGAAAAATGGGAGGTAAGGAAGGGGGAAGGATAGAGAGACCTTTTGCTAGACTATTCTTTTGTCCTTTTAGAAACATGTGGATATATTACTGATTTCAAATAGATTTAAATGGATTTTTAAAAAGTTACTTCATAGGGTGAGCAGAGAATGAACCGGAAGTTGGAATTTGGATTCTGGTTCTGCGCTTATCAATGTCAATCTGGGTGACTTATAGCAAGCCTCCCGACTCTCTGAACCACGGCTTCCTCCCCTAAGAGTCAAGGAGTTAAATTGGATTTCAAATCCAGCTTCCCTCTCCCCACATTTCAGAGTTCGCCACTCAACGTGGAGCACAGTGCCTCAGCAGAGAGCAAAGATGGTTGCTGCCTTGCCAAACAGGGGCCGACCAGCCCTCTACTCTGGACCTGCTCCTGCCAACCCCTGACCTTTCCCCTTGTGGTTGTGGGCCCCTGTTTGCCTTCTTACCCCTGGGCTTTAGTGCTGGTGAAGGCTGGGCAGCTGAGTGGAATAAGGATGACCAAAAGGGCAGAAAAATATCTAGTAAGTCTGAGAAAGAGCCCAGGAAAAGAGAGAACCAGGAGAGGCCAAGCACACTACAGGAAGGCCATGGGGCAGTGCAGATGCTGAACCACGTGACAGCATCAGCTGGGACAGCAACTTCAGTGCCAGCCCCATGGTGGGAGAAAGAGAGTGTGTGGTGAGCTTCCACCATGGCAGAGAAGTCCTCCACGCTCTTTCCACCAGGACAAGAACCCACATCATGACTACTGGACATTTGCTCAGGTCCTGCAATTACTTAGCCACCTCTGTAACCCCAGAGGCCACTGCCAGCAGCACAGGCTAAAAAGGGAGAAACGCTAGGCTTCAGGCAGAGCAGAAAGTGGAGGGAAGAAGAGAAGGAGTAAAGAGAAGTGGGAGAGAGGGAGGCAGGGTGACAGAGAGCCAAGAGCAGTAGCAAGATGGAAAAGAAAGACAAATAAAAAGGAGAAAACCAGAAAGATCGAGATTCACAGGCAAACCCGCCGAAGTCCACCTGCCCCACAATATCAGTGAACTCTAATTCCAAAAGGAGTGTGCTGGCTTTTATCACCATGAACAGCAGAATCCTAACAGAAAATGCACTTGGCATTCTTAGGAGGGACACTGAGAACCCATTACTGTCCTCTCTCCCCACCCACCACCTCCTCTAAGTCTGAGAGGTAAGAGGGCAGATCCAAACCCATGCCTGCCAGAAGGAAGATCGGGGACTGGAAGGGTGAGATCGAGAGTAAAGGGCCTGCCGGGTTCACCCTCTATGGGAGGCTCACGTTTTAAGGATGTTGGTGTTCAAGATTTCATCCCCAAAACAGAAAGTACAAGAGAAACAGTTGAAGGAATGGTGACATTTAGCCTGGACAAGAAAAGACTCTCTTGCAGATTTTGCTAGGTAGGCAGTCTGGTATGGCCCTTTCAGCATTTAAGTCCTCTGGTTCCATCAAGTATTTTAAAGGGTTCCCATGTGAAAGAAAGATCAAACTTTGTGAGGCTTCCCAGGGACAAACTGGGAGAAATGGGAGAAATTCAAATTCCAACCTGATGAAAGGAAGAAGGTTTAAACCCTGTCGGATGTTCCAGAATAGCATTGGTTCCCAATGGACTGTCCCTGAAGGGGTGCAGGAGAGATTCCTACAGCAGGCAGGGGACCGACCGGATTAGCAGTCCCTCAGACACCTTCCAGTGCCCAGCCCCTGAGAAGGAGGGATTAAGGGTAAACAGGAACACCAGGGGCTCCGGTGAAGCCTGATCAAGCCAAGGAAAGTGTCAGCTCCCAAAATAGGATTCTAAAAACAGAAAATCACATTGACTTAAATTGACCTCCCCTTCCCAGAGAACTCATTTCCCAGGGGGAAGAGCTTATGATTGATGGTGGTGGTCACACACAGGAATTTGAGCTGACTGGCCCCCAGGCCTTGCTGCCACTCTGTGCCAACACCACATGGGAGGCCAGGGTGCCAGGTATGGAGCAACAGATGTGTAAGAGATAAACGATGAAAGGGGAATTTTCTTAAAACCTTATTATTAGGAAATCACAGTGCTTAATTCTAATTTCTTGGTGGATAGGTTCTGTGGGTCAGTTCAAGCACTGAGTGACTCATGACTGTGTTTTTCTGGCCAGGTGAGTCTGCCAGGATAGGAAAGCTAACTCACATGAGCTGTCATCTCAGTGCAGCACTCAGGGCAGAGATGGTACGGGGCATGGTTTGAGAGCACAGGGGATATAGCCGGACTGCCTGGATTCCAAGGCTGTTCTCCAGCTTAGCAGCTGTATGGTTTAGGGTGGGTAACTCAACCTCTTTGTGGTAAGGATTCCTCCACTTTGAAATAGAGAAAATAATAGTATTTACTTCATAGTATTATTTTGGGGATTAAACACTTAGGACATGTGTTTTTAGTGTTAAGTCACTTAGAACAGGCCCTAGGGCTTAGGATGTTGTATTTATTATTACTTGTCATAATATTTTTGAAAGAAGCAGGATGGAGAAGGAAAGTCTTGGATTTTGGAATGAGTTAGAATTGAGTACAATTCCTGCTCTCCAACCCCTTGGTTCAGCAACAGTAAAAAGAGGGCAGTACTTTGACCAGCTCAGCAAAGTTCTATTCTTTCTTCAAACCCCAGCTGAGGCACTGCCTCCTAGATAACTGGATGGATACCTCTTTCACAGCCCTTGTCATAGAGCCTATCATTGCTTCTGTCCAGGCCTTTCTTCTGCACATGAGCCCTTTCAGGATGGGCTATACCTCATTCATATTTGTGTCCCCACCTCCTTAGCACAGTGCCCTGGTACACTGATGAAACACAGTGAGAAAGAGAACAGAGAAAGGAATCAGGATTTCTTGAAGATTTCTATATGCCAGGCACTGAACCACACACATAATTTATTTAAATTCTCACTCCAGTCCTGAAGGAGAGGTATTTTTTGCCCTTGTCTTACCAGTAAAATGGAGTTAGCAGCACCATTCTCTAAAACATAACAAGACAGAATATTAAAAAGGCAAAATGAAAGTGTCCAAAAGTGTCCAGGGGCTAATGGAAGACCCCAGGTCTGTCCGGGAAGGAAGGGTGACAACATCAGCTGACTGTCTGTAGGATCTCAGCAATGAGAATGGCTTGGAAGGCATACCCCTCCCTCCTGCCCTCCTAAAAGAGCTGGGCTTGGCTGAGTGTTCCACTGTTAAGCAGCAGACAGTTCCGGGGATGTGGCTGGGACACACACCAGAAGTTCCCAGGAGTCAGGGCACAGGGCTCTCCCACTGAGCCCAACCTTCTTGCAGTTTAGTCACTGCTCCCAGCACCTCACACCATACTCATCTACACCACACACCCCACACCACACCAACCACATACCACCTCCAGAAACCCTAATGTCCATCCACACATCAACTCACCCATTCATACCCACCACCCTCAAGTACACACACACACAGAACCTACACACCATCACAAACACTCCAGCCTATACACATCACACACACTCAGATAGCCACAGCACATCACCTGCAAATAGACTCATTCATGAGATACCCAGCAATGCCCGTTCACACATACGCACACATCCTACCCACACTCAGTGCCTGACAGCCCACCCACACATTTTTTCAAACGTCCACACTGCACCGGGGCTCACTCCCTCTGCAGCCCATCTCACAACCTGAAGCGCTCTCACATTTATCTGCACATGGCCCCACATAAACACCGTGTTTCTACTCCACATCTCTCCCACAAGCCCGCACACCCGGGCACATCTGTGCAGTGTATCCCCCACCCGGCCGACTCCGGTTTCGCGCTCGGTGTGCAGCGGCCACAGTGGCCAGGAATTAAAATGCAGCGAGGAGGAGCCGGGCGCGTCAGCACCGCGTCTCCAGGAGAGCGCAGCGCTCGCCGCCGCCCCGCCCGCCCGCAGCCGCGGAGCCAGAGAGCCGAGAAGCAGGTGTTTGAAGCCCAGCCGCGCCAGCGACGCGCGGCTGCTGCCCAAGTTCGCCCGGGGCCCGACGAGGGCCGGGCAACCGGGAGAGGAGTGCAGACTGCGGCGCACCCACCGTGGGTTGGAGTCTCTAGAGAGGAAGGGCCCACCGAGCAGCGAGTCCCGGTCACCCCGGAGAGGTGTAGTCGGGGCTCCGCAGTTCCCCAGCTCCTGGAGCCGCCCAGGCAGGGGGAAAAAGAGGCAGGAGACAGCGAGGCCGGGCTTTTCTGGAGACTCGGGGCCCCCCTGGGAGCCGGGGAGAGAAGCGACACGTCTCTCTGGCGAGCAGCCTTGAAGGACCCCCGCAGCAAGCAGCCTCCTGCAGGACCCCCTGAGAAGCCCCCAGCCCCAGGAGAGAGAGGGCACATCGCAACGAGGGCTCGGGCGCTGCACCTAGGGGAGCCCCAGCAGGTCTCGGCCGAGCGCAGCCCGAGGAGCAGTGAGAAGGGTCCTGAAGGGAAGGGAAGAGGGCAGCAGCCAGCAGGTCGACCACTCACCCCAGTACACACCCACCCCGCCCGCCAAGCCAGGAGCCGCGGTGCGCCTCTGGGGGCGCTCGTTCCCCGGCGCCTTCTCTCGCGTGTCCCAGCACCGCTGGGCTACCGGCCGGGCTGGGGGATCCCTGGGGATGTCCAAATCAGGCATGGTGACTGAGTGGCTGCTCTCCCACGACCAGCGTAAAAGCTGGGGTTAGGCGGAGCAGGGGGGACTCAGCTTAGGGTCCCCCGAGGTCCAGGACGAGGGGAGGCGCGCAGCGCCCAGAGACTGGAGAGGCGGCGCCCAGCGGGGCCCCTCCAGAGGTAGTGGCCGGCGCCAGGCATCCTCCAGGAAGACTCGGGGCCAGGAGAGCTCGGGCGGCGCCCGGGAGACGCCGGTGCCAGCGCGGAGGGCCGAGGCAGCGCTCAGTCCCGGGCGGGCGCCCGCGGAGGCGGCGGCGGCGGGGCCGGGCGGGCATGCCGCGCCACCGGAGCTCCTTTCGGGCGCACGCTTCCCTGGCGCGGGCTGCGCGCGGCGGCTGCTGCCGCTCCCCCTGCTGCTGCGGACTCCCATGGCGGCTCCGCCCGGCCGGGGCCGCCGCCGCTGCCGCCAGCCGCGGGCTGAATGAATGAGCCGGAGCGGCGCAGCCCGGCTGCCGGCGGCCGCGCTCACCGGCCCGGGACGCTTCCGCATGGCCCGCGAGGAGCCGGCGCCCGCGGCGGTGGCGGCGGCCGGGCAGCCCGGGGGCGACCGGGGCGGCGAGCGCGCGCCGGCGCTGCAGGGGCCGGGGGTCGCCCGCAGGGGGCGGCCGTCGCTGAGCCGCGCTAAACTGCACGGGCTGCGGCACATGTGCGCCGGGCGCGCGGCGGCGGGGGGCTCCTTCCAGCGGCGGGCGCTGTGGGTGCTGGCCTTCTGCACGTCGCTGGGCTTGCTGCTGTCCTGGTCCTCCAACCGCCTGCTCTACTGGCTCAGCTTCCCGTCGCACACGCGGGTGCACCGCGAGTGGAGCCGCCAGCTGCCCTTCCCCGCCGTCACCGTGTGTAACAACAACCCCCTGCGCTTCCCGCGCCTCTCCAAGGGGGACCTGTACTACGCAGGCCACTGGCTCGGGCTGCTGCTGCCCAACCGCACGGCGCGCCCGCTGGTCAGCGAGCTGCTGAGGGGCGACGAGCCGCGCCGCCAGTGGTTCCGCAAGCTGGCCGACTTCCGCCTCTTCCTGCCGCCGCGCCACTTCGAGGGAATCAGCGCCGCCTTCATGGACCGCCTGGGCCACCAGCTCGAGGACATGCTGCTGTCCTGCAAGTACCGCGGCGAGCTCTGCGGCCCGCACAACTTCTCCTCCGTGAGTGCCCCCCGCGAAACCCCGCTCCCTCTGCTCCCCCTCTGCAGAGTCAGGGCACCGCCCGCCACCCCCTCGGCGGGAGCTGGACACCAGGCCCCTCGCAGTGACACTATTCCACGATGCCAAGATGGAACCCGCTCTTGGGTCCCTGAGCCCTCTCCTCCGGGTTGTGGGAAGCTGGATACAACCGTAGGAGGGGTCACCTCGCTTTCCTGCCCCAGCCTCTCTCCTCTGGCATCGGTTCCCAAGCTCCCCACTCTGCTGTCATGGCCCCCTCTGTGAACATCAGCCCTCTCTCTCCCGACCTCACCCCCAGGTTCACAGGACTCCAGGCATCTGTCCTGTATTTGGGGTGAAGGGGTGGGAAGAGAGAGAAGCGTGTTTTAAGTATGGGCTGTTGTCTTTGGGAAAACCAACCGAAGTTCTTCAGAAACAGGCCGTCAGGAGGGTCAGGCCCAGACCCTAAGTAGCTTAGGGCTTCAGAGTTCCAAAACACTTTGAAATCTAGGGGGACTTTGAAGGAAACCCCCTGAATATTAGACAGCACTAAAGCTGCAGCCTGCTTGGTGAGGGAGGCAGTAGCCTTGTCTGCTACTTTTTAAAAGCTCTGTGTTTTAAGCATCCAGGGGAGTTGAACACTGGCGGGCACCAGTAGGGCCCCTGACCTCATAAGGTATGAGTGAGAGTGCTCCTGTCTAAAGAAACCAGCGTCCTGCGGGGAAGGCAGTGTGGCAGAGACACTGATGCGAACAGCCAGGGCCAGGAGCTGTGCTCAGGGTTTGTAAGCCATTTGCTGTGCTGGTTCCCTCACGCCGTGGGTCTGGATAATGCAGCTGTCAGACAGAAGGTACCTGCCTAGTGTGGTCTGCCTAGGAAGAGTTCTGGTACCAAGCCCCAGCGTGGCACAAGCCTGTCCAGGCATTTGTGTGCGAATGCCCCGTAGATGGGTTTGGGTTTTTCCACTAATGCAGAAAAGGTTGGTATGTGCATTTACATGTAATGCTCCGATGGTGATTTTGCCAGCCCTTATGCATCAAGTCTGACAGTCTTGTCTCTGACAAAGCCTTTTCTGGGATGGTAAAGAAATGCCATGGTTCCAACAGGTGTTGGCACAGATGCCAGTCAGGCAAGGCATCTGATTGGCTGATTGGGTTAATCCTTGTCTAGGATGGTGAACCTGGCTTCAGTCTTGCCCTCCTTGCTTTGCTTTATAGAGAGTGACCCTGAGTTATCCACTCCCAAACCACCTTGTTTTCTGGGTTTTTCAGTGGGCCTTTAAAGAACACCTTTAAGCTATTTGAGGGGATCCCCAGATACAGAGCAGGCCCATCAGGAATGCTTCCTGCTAACTACATCACCTACTCAACCACCTAGTGGTTCCCTAGCCTTCTTAAGCAGAAGATGCCATTAACATGTCCTTCTAAGCAACTTCTTCCAGACTTGGGACACAATTCTGAGTTCCACAGAGATAAAGGAATGAGGATAGTGATGCTTGTTCTTTGCTGACCACATTGCTGTGTAAATGCATTACACAGAAGCCTCGTGTTGTTTTCCTCTCTGACCCTGGGCTTCTTCTGTCGGAGGAGCCCTGGCTAGGACTCTTGCCCTCCCCCACCCTGCCAAGTCCTATCCCCCCCTAGGATGTTGGCTGGGAGAGTGGAAAGTGGTGATACCCCAGCAGGGCCAGGTGGGCAAAGCCAGAGCCTGCCCACCTCTGCTTGCAATCACACAGCACCTGCAGGGGCCACCTGACCTCTACCTCTCCTGCAGGGAGGGCCATGAGTTGAGAAAAGCAGGGTGTTTCCCACTGGGGCACCCCCTTCTCTTACCTCCCTCTACCCTACCTTCCTGTGTCTGAAGAATTTGCAGGTATACACCCACCCAAGCAAAAGAATTACTGCCATTCTCCAAAGGTATGTGTTCCTGGGGACTCAGGTGACCCCTAGTGGTTTCCTTTCATTGGGCCCGTCCCAGGAGTTTCTAGCCCCTTAACATTTCCAAGGGCCTCAGAATTAAAGGCTGCACCCATCTGTCTACCCATCAGTCAGAAGCAATTTCAGGGGATCCCCAAATACAGAGCAGGCCCATCATGAATACTTCCTGCTAACCACATCACCTACTCAAGCCTGTGTCGTCTTCAGTGGAGTGGCACTGTCATGCAGTGAGTGATTAACAACATGAATGCTTGAGCTGCACTGATGGTTCAAATCCTGAAACTACCACTTACTGTGTGTCTTCAGACAAGTGACTTACTCTCTCTGTTCTTTAGTTACCTACTTCATCTAGTGTAGGTAACACTAGCATATACACCATGTTTGTTGTGTGTGCAGATAGACAGATAGATATTGGTATATACATTTATATAAAGAGGGGGGAGCTCTTAAAACTGTGCTGGTCCCCCATAAAAAGTTGTCTTTAAATGGCTAGTCTCTGGGCCTCCAGCTCAGTGCCCCCTCCCTTCTGCATCCATCCTCTGCACTACGGCCAGAGTAGTCCTTCTAAATTCCACTCAAAGGATATCATCCTACTCCTTAAAACCCTTCAGTGGCTCACCTGTCCTCAGAATGAAGTCCAGGTTCCTCAGGCCCTGTGCCTGGTCCTGCCTTACCTCTTGCCCCACCCACTCCAGAACCTCGTACTCAAGCTCTTTGTACAGCATACAACGGCTGGACCTGGCTCCTCAAGCCTCTGGGTCTTCCCTGCTCAACTACTGTACGCGCTGTCCCCTCCTGCTGCTTTGCCTGCCTGGGATTACCCACTACCCTTCATCATACAGCGCTGGGATTTCTTCCACTTTGGAACCTTTCCTGACCACATCACCCCGCCTCCCCTCATCACCAAACAACTGATGCCTTCCTCCTTGTCACCCCTCTACCACCCCGTTAAGGGTCAGTCCTCACAGGTGTGCATGTCATCACACCTGCTGGCCTGCATCTGTGTCCTCCTCCAGGCCCAGGCAGGAATCACATCTGAGTTCCCTGCTATCTCAGCCCTCAGCACAGACACCCTGACACATAGGAGGTGTTGAGGAAAAGTTTGGGGAATGAAAACCTTCACCAGGTACCCTCAGGACTTCTTGTTGTCCTGGGTCACCAGCTCCGTGACTCTTGGCTTAATTTCTCTAGGGAACGCCAGTGGAATGCATTTCTAATGAGGATGTGCCCAGGCAATTGCTGGGCATTTATCCCTTTTGGGGTCAGAGGGGGAGCACGGGAGCAGGATGCCAGGTGCTCCTCAGATACCTATGCTCCCAACTAAGAGGATCAGTGCAGCAGGTGAAGGACTCGGGGGGACACCTTTGGTGGGGGTGTCATCTGTCCCCAAGTCTCATTCCATCCAGGTAGTCTCTTGTCTAGAAGTAAACTCGGCTGGAGAGAGAAGGGTGTTGTGGAGGAGCATCTCTGGGTTTCTTCAGGATGTGTTCCCCTACAGCTCCTCGCTGTGTTTGTCACAGCTGTGTAAGGGTTAATCGCTCAGCTGTGAAACAAGCACTCCCACTTCTGAATGCACACTTTGTTTCTCTGGCATCAGCTGGAGACCTCACGCTGTGCACACTCTGGCCCTTCTGGGCTGTCCTGGGGGCAGAGGAAAGCAGCCTTCGTGATAATGGAGTAGGATGCAAAACTGCTAGACCCAGCTATCTGGGACTGAATCCTAGGGAGAGGGACTAAGGCATTGGGAACAGGCTGACAGAGGCCAGTCAGGGCCCACTGCAAGAGCAAGAAGCAGCGACCCTCCTTGGGAGGACGCATGGCTCAGGGGAAAGTGCCAGGCAGACCTCAGCCTAGGGGTCGGCTCCGCTCCTTCCTAGCCGTGTGCCCTGGTCAGGAGCTCCACTCTCCGAGCCTCTGGTAATAATTCCTGCCTAAGAAGGCTTGAATGAAGGTACGTATGTAGGGTCTAGCCCATGCCTGGACAGCAGTAGGTTCTTGATATTCCAGAGCAACTGTTTTAATTTGGATGGAGAGATCATCAGTCTTTGTAGCTAATGGTAGCAGTTATTAATTATCATCAGTATGATTACTTTCTTACCATGATCACTTACCTGAGTGGGGTATGCTCATTTCCTGGTTCATGCATTCAATCACCCAGCATCTATTGAGTGTCAAGCTCTGTAATAGCTGCTGCAGATATATAATGAAATAAGGCTTAGTGTGTGTCCGCCATGAACCTGCAGTTGAACTGTTGAGGAAGGAGATTGTGAACAGATGTCAGGTCATGCACAGGTGTGGTGTGGCCTCAGAGGAGGACCCAGGAGAGAATGGGGGGACCTCTGATGGCTTCCTGGAGGAGGTGGCATCTGATCTGAGTCTTGAAGGATAAGTAGAAAGTCCAAGGTAGGGAAGGCGGGAAAAAGGATTTCAGGGAGAGGGGATGGCATATGCAAACCAGAGAGTACCGAAGTATGAAACAGTGAGATTGAAAATGTGCTTTCTAGGGCCTGAGAGTAGTTCAGGGCAGCTGGAAGGAGGGACTGAATGTGCTGAGTTGTGTTGAGCTGGGGTGTGATAATGCAAAGGCGTGATGGACACCTGAGGGCCAAAGTAACTTTTTTAACTTTGTAGTGTAAGTTCCGACTTTCGCTACTAGCTGTTACGCTATGGAGTGTCTCACCCATATCATTTGTGTCCTCCTTGCCTCCCCACTCCCAGCAGCTGCCATCCCCATTCCCAGATCCAACAGGGACCATCCCTCCCTGCACCTTCTCCCATTTGCTACCCCCTTTGGCAAGGATCACCCTTGAGTCCAGAGTTTGGATGTATCCTCCATACTAAAAGCCAAAGAAACAGCATTTGGTTTCACCACACTTTGTCACAGCAAGCAGGTCGGCTGCTCTGAGTCAGCAACAGAAAACAAGAAATCATTTCAGCAACATATTGTTTAAAATCAGCAAATTCTGTTAAAATGGTGCCTGGCCAGGCAGTCCAGTAGTTGTGAGGATGGATGGCTTTAGGAGACAAGGAAAAGACTTTCACTTTTAGAGAAAGGAATAAAGAACT